TTCTAAATATACAATTCTCAAGACAGATATTTCAGATTATATAGTAGATAAAGCACTGATATAATATAATAATAAAAATATTCTATAACTCTATATCTTCATCTCAAAGAAAATATTATTTATTAAATATAACTATAAAATTTATGATAAAAAGCTTCTGATAATTATATAATATTTTGAAGAATGAAAATCTGAGCTCATAAATATTGAGAAATTCAAGATTATTATTAATTATAAAAACTTAGAATATTTTATAATTATTTGCAAGCTCACAAAGAGATATATACACTGATTATTATTTCTCAATTATTTTTTATTTATAATCTATTACTAATCAGAGACAGAAAACACTTTTATAAATACTCTATTTTATAGAGAATAAAATATACCCTCTGATAATCTAGATAATAGATAAAAACACTGAGAATATTAATTAATTAATCTTATAATTATAGAAAGTTCTATATAATTAAATAGTTTCTATATATATATTAATCTATTTTGAGCTCAGAAATCTTCATTTGAAGAATAATAAAAATAAGTAATAGAGATGAATAAATTCTGATAATAGACTATAAAAGCTTCATAAAACAAAATATCTTGATTCTTTACAGATATATATTTAAAAATAGATATCTCAGTATACTTAATTAATAATAACAACTGTCTATATTTTTAAAATAGATAATAAATCTCTAATTCAGAACTTTTATAAATATAGATTATATAAAATATTTATAATTTATTAATAACTGAATATTCAAAGTATAAAATTATATATAATATTATCATTCAAAAATTCTACTGATCAGATATATTAAAGAATATATACTGATTTATATATAATTACAATTACTACAGCTCAATAACAGTATAATATAAATATTAAAAAGAAATACTAAAATCTCTGTCTGTTTTCAAATAAACTTGATATAATATAGCTATTAATTTTACAGTTTTCTTATCTAAGAATAATAATTCTATAAATATTCTAGTTATTATTAATTATTTCAATAAGAATATAATACTGCAGTTCTGTAATAAAATAAATATTGAAATTATTGTAGATATCTTCATCAGAAACTCATTCTATTGTATATATAATCTATCTTTATTTATTATATTAGATAAAAATAGTCAGTTTATAAGTACACTTTGAATTTATATATATCAGCTACTGAGAATTGAGTGAAAGTTGTTAATAGTATATTACTTAAAAATTAATAAAATCACTGAGAGAATAATACAGACAATTAAAAACATTTTCTGAAAGTTCTACAACTATATATAAAATAACTGAAATAATCTACTACTGTATACTGAGATTGTTATAAATAATCAAAATTCTATTATAATAGATATAAATCTATTCTTTTTTCTATATAGTTATAATTTAGAGATTCTGAACTTCTCTGAAATTCTTTAAAAAATTATATACATCTACAGTTCTGTATAGATGATAGAGAATATAATTAATAAATTTAAAAAAATTTATAAATAAACTGAAGTTTCAATAACTAATATTTAATAAAATTATAAAAATTAAATAAATATCAGAAGAAGTTCTATAATTCATTATAATATAAAAAATAAAATTTAATTAAATTTTAAAAATATAAAAATAGACTGTTTTTTATATATATTAAACTACTGTTATATCAAATATACAGTAGTAAAAATATTAGATATTTATAATTATTAACTGAATACTCTGTCTGATATTCACAATATTTTTTATATAAATCTATTTCAATTCACAGTTAAAAATTCATTCTCTTTATAAAAGATCTTCAACTGATAATCATCTGTTATTGTAGAAAAAAACAATGAATTTAAATAAAAAATTAAAGTAATTCTCAGCAATAGAATCAATCACTGTTACTGTAAATATTTTATTAAATAAATAGAATACAATTATTCAATCTGAAAATCTGTATTTATTATAAAAAATATTGTTATATTCAATATTTATAAATTCTTATTTATTCTGATAGAGAGAGATAATATGATGAGTTAATATCTGTTAGTAGTTAACTTACACAATCAACTTTCTATCATCTATTCACTTTTTTATATACTTTTATATATTTATAAAACATCTCTCTTTTTATAATTCTGTTCTGTATTTATATAGTTTCTAATAATTTCTCTATATAATTTTTAATATTCTTCTACTCTGTACTTCACTGTAGTATAATTTTTAATATTTTTTTATTTCAATTTTTTTTTTATAAAAACTCTTTTATATAATCTCTTCTTCTGATTTTTCTTTTCTTTCTTTTTTTAATCAATTTATAAACTGTTATTAGAATAGTGTCAAGTTTATTAATAGTGTTATTGAAATGAATTGTATAAACTATACAGATGATATAAACAGTTTAATCTATAATATTAATAATATCTGCTTAATTGATGATATATCTATTATATAAAAATTAAATAAATATCAGAAAAAGTTCTGCAATTTATTACAGTATAAAAGATAAAATCTGATTAGATTTTAAAAATATGAAAACAAATTATCTCTTGTATACACTGAATTATTATCACATCAAATATATAGTAATAGAAGTGTTAGATATTCACAACTATCAATTAAACACTCTATCTAATATTTATAATGTTTTTTATATAAATCTATTTCAATTCACAGCTGAGAATCTATTCTTTTTATAAAAGATTTTTGACTGACAATTATCTGTTATTATAGAAAAAGACAATGAACTTGAATAAGAAATTGAAACAATTTTTGATGATAGAATCAATCACTGTTATTATAAATACTTTATTAAATAAATAGAATATAATTGTTCAATCTGAGAACCCACATTCATTATAAAAAATACTATTGTATTTAATATTTATGAATTCTTACTCATCTCAGTAGAGAGAAATAATGTGATAAGTTAGTATTTATTAATAGTTAACTTATACAATCAATTCTTTATCATCTGTTTATCCTCTTATATACTTTTATATACTTATAAAACATCTCTTTTTTTATGATTCTGCTCTGTACTTATATAGTCTCTAATAATTTCTCTGTATAATTTTTAACATTCTTTTACTCTATGCTTCACTGCAGTGTGATCTCTGATATTCTTTTATCTCAATTCTTCTTCTATAAGAATCCTTTTATACAATTTCTTCTTCTAATCTTTCTTCTCTTTCTTTTTTTAATTGATTTATAAACTGTTATTAGAATAGTGTCAAGTCCATTGATAGTGCTGTTGGAACAGATTATATGAACTGTGCAGGCAGTATGAATGGTTTAATCCACAACATCAGTAACTTCTGCTTAATTGGTGGCACGCCTGTTACAGTTCTCCAATGTGATTTGAACCAGAGGTGGATAATGTTTCTTCTATAAAAGCTGTGAGTAAAAGCAATAAAAAACAGCATTCTTCATGCCAGTTCCTCCTTTAATGGAGGGAAGGGTTCAGATTCATTCTTCACAAGTCGTTTTCTAAATACTTGAAAGGAGAGTTGCCATCTTTTCTGAGTTGCTTGATCCACCGCATGCTCCGAGATGGAAATAAAAATTCACTATTACAGTCTCTGTGGTACTGCTTAAGCATCCTGCCAGGGTGGCCTTTCGATTGCTCCACATTCGTGAGAGATCCCTCTGATCACACTTAGGTTTTAGCTGTCTGGCCACTGGAAACTGCACTAAAATGTATTGGGGGTGTTTGCTTGCCGCAGGACTTCTGGATTGGGTATTCAGCAAGCACCAGGTCAACGTCGCTATAGCACTCTAGGCAATAGGCATGTAACTTCCCCAGCAGAGTCTCCTTTCGTCTACGCCGTTGTTGGTGGGGGCTGGCGCATTTATTCTCTGTGTCGGGCTTATTAATATGGTCCGACGGTCGGTATGCCATGATTGAATGGAAAGAGATACAATATCGCAAAACCGTCTGTGGAAGGATTCAGAAGATATATATAGGCAGATAATGCAGAACATTAGAAGGAAGTGAGACTGTTTGAAGGCGCATGGTCATGATTTTTAATAACTTGAAAATGATGGGTGAGCCAGTATTTTCTGGGGACTCTGCCTGTCTTTTCCTGCATTTCTGCATTTCTGGCTTTCCAGCCTTTTGGAAATTAATCCGATTGTGAGTCTTTCTTTTAGCCTGTAATCCACTTTTCACCATCTGCAAAGGTCAGAACAGCGCATTCAGATTTGATTTCAGGGACTGTAGCTCTCCCACACGTACCTTGGCTGCGCTTTCTCAGCCCCGAGCGGAAGGAGCCTGAACTTGTAGCCGATGTAAGCGTGATTTTGAGCCTGAGAAGGCTTTACAGCGGCACTACAAAAACACCCATCCGGTTCCAACATCGCCGTCAAGCTCTGAAGGAGCAATACCGGTGGAAATCATTTTGGTTTGCTTTGAGTATAGAAGTCTTGGGAAAGGTTATAGCGGGAAGCAGGTCTTTTGATATGTATATATGCTTGATTCATGGATGAGCAGAGTGGGCTGAAACGAGACCAGGCTGGCAAAAGTCCAGAAGGGTTGTCTCCTAGTCTGGATCAAAGAGACGTGTGTAGGGCTGGTTGGCTAGTTTAGGATTTCCCGAATTATGATGCATTGATACATTGCTTACAATAGCGGCGAAAACGAGACAAGAATCCAGCATGCGGGTCTAACAGTTGAAGAGGCATGAGCAGAGTTTATACGTAATGTTATAGTACTGTTGTTATATATACTCACCTGTCAAAAAATATACCAAAGTTCTATTGTTTTCAAACGATGAAATTCGACCTACATATGCCAAATCGCTAGCAATTCATGCTAGATAGCGGTGTCTTGATCTGCGATGGCTTTGTGGCTGTTGCGCGATTACGTAATCATATGATGCCTCAATCCAAGAACTTGGAAACCCCCTCCTCTCTCTCTCTCTGTGTGTCTGTGATTCAGATTCTTGGAGGAATATACCTTTTCTTATCTCTGATATAATACTGCCTTTACAAGCTATATCAGCAATTCTTCTTACACTTGGGACGAAATGAGTCAGGCTACTCCGGTGCGGATAATCCTTGGATATCGTGAACAACCATTTCAAAAACCTTCCACAATCATCAACTCCTTCTTTACATGGCGAGATATCCAACCTCTGGATGACTACTATACACATATATGTAGCAATTCTCCTTCTACTCGGTTATATCTTGTTCTCGATCTCTACTGCAAAACACATCCAAATGTCGATCTTAATGAGTTAGACCTTGAAGTCTTTAAAGTCTCAGGAATTGATTCATTGTGTGTTTACCCTCATCTACAACTTAACAAAGCTAGCTAACTATATTTAAGTACATTTAGAGATCTTGGAGAGATAGCTCGCAAGCAGGTTTCCCAGCGATCTGCTTCTCTGAATTGGGGGGAAGACAAGCAGTCTAGTCAGAGGAATTAGTTGGTGTTGTTCCAGCACAGGGGGGACAGGATCCTGCTATATTTGTGTCTTGCACATCGAGAACCAATGGGAGATCCCTCAGAAACCCAGTGGCAGGTAGACATGGGTCATTTGCATCCCTTCTCGTGAGTGTACAAAAGATAATGTGTTCGTGATGCATATGTTTGGGATTACGCGTACAAGCTGCGTATGTCTTGCAAGCCCATTCGCACATTGCGTGAGAGTGAGGGAAGTTGATTAAAATTGAATATTGCAAAGAGGACCTCCACACGAAGCGGATCGTCATGCGAGAGATGTAGTTTTGAAAGGAAAGGCAGCTCGAAGAGGAGACAATCTGTATTTATAGAATTAATGGTCTGCTCTACAGCTCTAAACATCATTTAAAAAGATAACTTACTTTGTTCTAGGTTATAATAGTTGCGGGCTAAAGGGGCAGTGCGATCGACAGAATAATTAAGAGGTTCAATCATATATCTCTCAACGAATGAACTTACAATTGCGGAGTATGTTTGTGATTTTCTGAGGGCCTTTGCTTCTGTTTGAATGAGAATTTGAAATTGGAAGTTGATCGAAAGAGACAAATGATGTGCGGACTCACCATGTTAAATATTCCTCAACAAATTCGCTGTCTGCAATGTTGCCTTGGGCTCGAGGCGTCGCCAGAGCCATTCCCTCATCAAAAAAGCCATACAAGGCAGCACTGAGCTCATCGTGCCTCGTTCGCCAACCACTTCATTGTTGGTGGCGTGCTGAGGCTCCCTGGTTTTGAGGATCGTTCTTTTATGGGATAGGTGGATGCTGCCCTTGCCGCCCAAATCCATACCATAATCATTGATTCGATGGTGGAACAGGATATTAGGCCACTAGGGCAAAAGAGCTCAATCACCACCAGCGCCGTGGTGGTTTACGCCGTAGAGGGTACGAATCACCCAATCCAATCCCCCCAACACAGGAGGGGTATCTCTGAGTCAGAGTTCCTTGCTTGTTAAGGCGGGTTTGTTTGTGGGGTGCGTGATTTTTGGCGCTAACAACACGGTTAGTAGACTGAGGTTCTCAACGACTTGGCTTCCAGAGAAGTTGCAATTGTCTTGGCATTTGCAAGGATTAAGAATCGATATTGGACAGAGAGGATTAACTATAGGCCGTATAGGGGTAATCACGTGTGGTGGAGCATATATGTGCCGTGCGCTAGTCCGTGATAGGACTAGGGCCAACAGAATCGCCCCTTGCTGACTAAAGGGGAAAATTCCTTTGCCCAAGCTCCAACTTCGAAACTTCGCCTTCTGAACATTAACTTCCATCTCCCATCCGCACCTCTCTCTTCCGTCAACATCCTTTCTGCATCCTTTTCATCATCTCGGCTCTCTTTAATGATCACCTGCGCCATTTTACATTCCCCTACTGACTGCTTGTGACTGAATAACTTCGCTCGACTTGCAAATGTACAGTAATCCGTTCGGTTAATCTTCACTTGTCTCACCGCCATACGTCCACCTACTTTGTCTTCGTTGTACCTAAGTTGCGGCCTGTCTTTTCCAATCACATTTACAGTTTTTGAAAGTTGCACTCGAGGTCATCTTCAAAAAAACTCATAAACATCGGGTGGCTTGTACGAGGTATTGGGATCCAGCTGGCTTTCAAAAAAAAATTATTATCGTTATTGTGTTGCTAGGTTGTGACAGACAATCGAAAGCTTTATTATCCTTCCCACGCGAATACCTCTTTATGTACAAATCCTTTTATTGTTGTTCTGGGGTTATCTCACATCTCGTTGATTCCCTCTTTTTTTTACTGCAAGAAAATCCTATCAACTTATCGATACAAACATAATCCAGTTGAGGTTATTCCAGTCCCACCCTAGCATCCCCAATCTCCTTACTCAATAAATCGATCTTCAAAAGGACTTTATAATAAGTTCACATTTGTGGTGTGGTTGGCGAAACTGAAACCAGTCGGGACAGTGCATTATTGGTATCATTGTTTAGACACTGCCTACATTGATCTCAGCTCCCTAATCCAAAATATTGTCCATTGTTAACTCTTCCCATCAATTACCATGACTTCTTCTGTTCATTTCAAGTTCAAATCTCAGAAGGAACCCTCGAGGGTAACGTTTGATGGCACGGGTATATCAGTCTTTGAGCTGAAAAGAGAAATCATCAATCAAAACCGACTAGGCGATGGAAGTGATTTCGAACTCGCAATTTATAATGAAGATACCAACGAAGGTAAGTCGCAATAAACAGTCGTGTGTACCTTGCCAAAGTTTGACGCCGCGGACCTAACTCTGCTCGCATAGAATACGACGACGATACAACCATTGTCCCACGATCCACGTCTGTAATCGCCCGCAGGCTTCCTGCTGCAAGACCCGGGAAGGGTGGGGCTGCACGCTATGTCTCTGGTAAAATGCCAGTGAACGCTCGTAGTTCCGCCAGGATTGACGGCCCTTTATCCAACCGACCTAACGGTGGAGGCACAACTATAAACAATATTACCGACTTGAATACTGCGCAATCTGAAGATGAAAAGATCAAAGCATTATTTAGCTTGCAAGAAACGCAATGGAAGGAACAACAAAATGAAATGGCCAAGTAAGAGACGCAACAGCCACCTTTAAATACTATTTATTTTGACTCTATTCACTTACTGACAAAACCCTGTTAACAGTGCTACTCCAGTTCTATTTAACCGAAACAGAGCAAAACCTGTCAATATTCCTGATCACCCTCCACCACCAGGCTATTTGTGTTACCGTTGTCGAGAGAAAGGTACGCAATTATCAGTAACTATATATTTTAAACAGGCTAACTTTAATATTCATAGGACATTGGATACAAGCGTGTCCCACCAATAATGATCCTAAATTCGATGGTCGTTATCGAGTCAAACGATCAACGGGAATACCCCGATCCCTCCAGAAACAGGTTGAAAAGCCTGATTCCTTGGCATTGGATGGAGCAAATGAAGATTCGAAGCTTTCCGGAGTGATGGTAAATGCGGATGGTGACTTCGTGGTTGCCCAGCCAGACAAGGCGTCATGGGAATTGTACCAGGAAAAAGCTAAAGCTTCTGCTGCAGCCGCAGCTGAATTTGCAGCAGCTGAAGGGAACAAAGAGATACAGGCGCGAGGTTTACAATGTCCAATTGATAAACGATTGTTACTAGAGCCAACGAGAACGCCATGCTGCAAAAAAACTTATTGCAATGATTGTATCACAAATGCATTGATCGAAAGTGATTTTGTTTGCCCTAATTGTTCTACGGAAGGCGTATTGATAGACAATCTAACAGTGGACGAAGAGGCCATGGATAAGCTGAAGGATTATCAAAAAGAGAAAGCTGAGAGACAGGAGAAGGAGAGAGAGCAATCTGTTAGCGACAAGTCCACCGTATCCCCTCCAAGAGCTATTTCAAAACTCGCCAACCAAAAACACGAGTCCACTTCTTCCCCAAAACTACCAACCCAATCGAGTCCAACATATCCGAAAAAAAGGTCTGCAGGAGAAGAGGATGAGAGCAATAATAAGCAGGAACCTGCTGCTCCCCCACCGGCAATGAAAAAGCAGAAATCAAACGACAGCCAACCCCAAACTACCATCCATCACAACCAGAAACCAGAGCCCTATAACAAATTTTCTCCGTCACCGTTCCATCAGCAACTACCCCTTGGAAATTTTAATTCTCCATCTGCTCAACCATTCCCAATGACCGGCTTTGCGCCAAATAACGTGATGGCAATGTCCGGATTTATTGGCGGTGTAAATACCCCTGCTCCTCTCCTCAACGGATATGCACAAGCCGAAAATGGATGGAATCAAATGGCGAATAATAATATGAATTTTGGCCTGCCAAACGGGCAATATATGAACAACTTTAACCAGGCAATGGTTCCAGCAGTTGGGGGATATGGGCTAAGTAATTTCGGCCCTGGCCCAGGCGCAATGCCCATGAATATGAACATGAATATGAATATGAATATGAATTTCATGAACCAACCTCCCAATCATCTGCCACAGCGGCCACCTTACCAACAGAACATCGGAGTGGCGAACTTCTCGAACCAGCAGCGAACCAGTTTCGGACGGCCTTTCGCGAAGGAAGAAGACAACGCGTATCTACGCCAACCGGTGAATCCACATCGACACCAGGCGAGGCAAAAGCGAATCAGGCCAAGTGACTATCGGGAGCTGTAGAGATCCAGCGAGGAAAGAGCATGGAACACTACCAGAGGGAGAGAGATATATTATCATCACCACCACATTGTTTTTACTTGTAAATTTTACTATCTGGGCTTTTTCAGCGTGGAGTTTTTATTGTTGAATGGGGGGGGGGAAACTCGGCCTAAGATGGATTGGTGTATTTCCAGAGAAGGATCATGGGAACCCTTCGTCGCTTTTCACTTCTTGTGCTTTTTCGGCCCTCTTAGCTAGGCTATTCGTCGGTTTTTAGATTCTTTTAGTCACAACACAATAGGGAATAAATTATAATCGATAAATTCCACATTCCGTTACTTAGAACATCTGAACAAGACAGCGGTCAGCAGGAGAAAAGAAAACACCAGGAAATTTTTGGACGTTTATACCCCTCAATATCATGCGGAATGCTAATAATAAATAACCTTGCAAGAGGAGCCTGGCTCCCGTGCACAGGTTATTTATTGAGGTTACGTATTACGGCCAGTAATTAGCCAAAATTCAGCTGGGCCGGCCTTTAGAGCAATCCGTGAGGAAGGCACTGAAAGGGTTAAAATTTGCCGACTGGGCTTAAACCTATTCTTTTAACCCAATCAGCACGTAGAAAAAACCGAAGGGAGAGTGAGACCATATATAAAGTGTTTGTTCTATGGATAGTATAAATTGCGTGCTACGAAATAGTCTCTTATAAAGTTTCCCGACGCCTCCCTTCCAACTCATCGGCCAGGAAAGCAGCATCACGTTTCCCGCGGTCGACATCGATCAGTAACATCAGCGGTAACGGGATGAGAATTAGGACCGCTAAAAACCCAAACGCAGGCCGAATCTCTCCGTATCTATCAGTAATCAGGCCAACAATCGCGGGGCCGAAAATGCTCGACCCTTTATCGGTGATGGCATACAATGCATAAAAGGACGTTTCGAACCCCGGCGGTATCAACTCTCCGAAAAAGCTGCGACAGTAGGAAGACAACCCACCCATCACCAAGCCATAAACGGCCCCCAACACGTACATCTCCCACGGTTTCTGGAGCCCAAATACACCCAGCCGTTTAATCGCCGGGATGAACCCGAGAAGCCCGTAGAAGGGAATGAGCTCAAAAACACAAATGCAAGCGATGATGGTCTGTGAGGCCCGAAGGTGTAGCCGCCGTGAGAGATAGTTCCAGCAAAAGGCGCCGCACACCCCCGAGATCATTGCTATTACGTTGATCAGGCCAAGGGCAGCAAGTTTCATATCCAGTTGCGTTTTGGCAAACAACACAGCAGTGCCGCTCACGGTGGCAATGCCATCGGAAAGAAGAAACCACACCGCCAGGAAGATAAGAACGTCCTTGAGATGGCGGGCCTGCAGGGCTGTACGCCCGAGGGACTTCCATGCGTACGTGATATAACTAACACATGGCCACATTTTACTATCTCTAGCGGAGCTAGGAAGAGGCGGTCCGGGACGAGGGCGGAGCCACATAGCAGCTGGGATCGTAAAGAGCAGCCACCACAATCCAATTCCGAAGAGAGTCAACCGCAAAGAGAACGTCGTCGAGCCAGTGGCAACAATGATCAGGATTGACGCTATTTGTAAAATAACCGCCCCGATGTAACCAATGCCAATCCCGTTAGAGGAAATCCTTGTTGATAACTGGAGCTCTGCTGATATTTTTGAGGATTTGAGCTGAGAGTCGTCAACGGGCACAGTGGCATCGTCCTGAAGTAGTGGCAATGTGGGTGACAGATCGGGCGGGAGACTCTCGCTGGATTCAGGCTCGACAAGTGCATTGGAAGAATGCACATCATCATCATCATAACCACTATCAAGCAAACGACGAACCGGAGTTGATTGAATGGTGGGGTGATGGCGAACAAGCAAAGGCAGAAAGGAATTGAGTAGAACAAATGAGGCACCAAAGCAAGTGTTGGCGACAATCGCGAGCAACGCACCGAGCAAATAAACTTGTGGGACAACAGCCAGAAAGAGCATGGTTGATACCGCCCCCACGACAGCAAAAACCAAGAGCAATGTCTTGCGGTAGACGCCGTGATCCGCCGCTCCAGACATGGATATGATAAGCAGGGATTGTATTAATACGCTCATCGAAAATGTGTACATCGCAAAACTGGCGGTGTTTATTTCCATTCCTAGGAAATAAATGATGCACTGGCTAGTTTTGGGCGAATGAGGACCGTTCGGAGAAGAGGCAGTAGGACTGGGTAAATCAGATGCCGTGCCCCAAGTAGCACTGCACGGCGTGGATTTATCGGAAAGGAGAACTCCTCGATCCCTGGCCATCTGCTCCAGGGTGATGGGAAGAAAGGACCCTATGTGTTTCAGCGATCCATTAGTTCTCGAAGGCCAAAAAAGGTGAGTTATACATAAAATAAAAAATGCACGGGATTTCCCCTCCCGCTGCGGATGGTTGCCATGTTCTCATCGTCAATGGCAGCTGGGATGAAGGGACTCACCCATAGCACAGACCGTAAACACCTCGGCGGCCCACCCATAGCAGTACCATCCTGAGAGCTCCTTTTTGCTTGTGGATCGCGTATCCTCCCCTGCGTACCTATGACCCACCGGTTCATGGGAGTCCATCATTGCCTGTTCATAGGCAACATCTCGGCCTTTGCATCAGGACAGGCTATGAGGCGGTGGGAGAAAATAGACAGGAGATACGCTTTTCGAAAACAAACAACGGGAACGGATGTAAACAGTGCAAACAAGCCAAGCCAAGCATGTTATTCTACGGTTAAACCCTCGCAGTGCCAGCTCTAGCTATGTATCCTCCAAGCTTCAATTCTTCAGGTTCTTGAATTTTCCGGTTTTCAAATGATCCAATTCCGGTTTAAATCGCTGTTGTATTTTTGTCAGTGTCGAGCTAGCCGTATATATATATATCAGAATAAATATCACAAACTTCAAAATTAAGCTCTCATTATAATTCTTTCATCCGTACGGGGATAGACGATACTGGAAGGAAATCCCATTCAGTATAACTCAATTAGACCAAAACACCTTATGATTGATATAAATTTGTTTGCCAGTTTGCCTTAGAAGCGGATTGACGAATGATATACGGGAGTAAAGCTATCGATGATGTATATATTGATTGCTAGCCTTTACAGCAGCGAAGTTAAGTTATCCACAAAAGTTCATTCAAAATGCAGTGCAGTGCAGTGCAGTGCAATTGTATCTTGATTTTTTGACCTTTCTCTTCTTCCTCGGCGATTGGCTGATATTATATTTATATATATATGTATATGTCTACTCCGATATTTACAGCTCGCTGAGAGATAAGGTAACGAGTCAATGGCGAATGGCAAATGACACTATAATTAGTGCCCGTTGACGGGCTCCATTGGCCATTCAAGATGCGGTCATTTTTATTGCCGCAGAACGCGTGCAATTGCAACGGACAAGAAAAAAGAATTTCCCCACAGTTAGATTCATCTTGCAACAGCGTCGTGGGTTTGTTGTTGTTGTTGTTGTTGTTGAAATGTATTTATTTGTTCATGAAGATTATTGATTGATCAAGGAAGCGGGTAGGTGAGGAGGTAAAGGAGGAGGTGTGGGCGGCCAATGGGCGAAGTCAATTGGGCCAGAAGCGGGTTCGCTTGACCACAGCAGCTGACGGACCGAGATGCGCAGCGTGGAGCGAGGACTGGGCGAGTGACCTGGTGTCTGTGATCAGTTGCGAGGTGTGACCATCCACGGGAACCTGGGCGAGAGATGGATGAGGGGGAAGTTGAGAGAAGAATCACGCTACCCCGTACTGTTGATGGTTAACTGCTAGGCTAGTGACAGAGAGTGCTGGGGGAGGCAACACAATAATACATCACCCACCGATTAGAGTTGGAAGATCCCAAACTTAGATCTATTTATACTTCGCGCCCGCGATCAATTCGGGCAATCCTGGCTCCTCGACCGTTTTGCCCTGCTGATTCTCAAACCGGATCCAACTTTGTCCCATCAGTCATTTCTTCATTCCGTAGCAGCAGGGACCTTTGTCCACAGCAAACAGCAAACAGCCCAAACAGCTCAAACAGCGACATCGATGAAAGTGAAAGCCAAAGAACCTGAAACCGACGAACAATGGATGAATGAATCACTCCGAGTCATCAACAACCAGGTAGCGATATAACCGGTCAAGGTAGTCTAGGTGACTGCCCTCCGTCAAAGAACAATTTACTTCCCGTGCGCCTTTTTCTTTTTTTGTCCCTCTTGGCTGGCCCCCGCCCACAAGACAACAACAAAGCAACAAAGCAGCAAAGCAACAAACAGCTCTAGCCTGAATCAAATGAAGGGTAATAAGGATCAATCAATAGTAATATAATCTACGAACAAGAAGAGTTGAGCATCAATCAATTCCTTCGGAAATCCTCCTCGTCGGCAGCATTCACTGCTTGACCACATGCTTCCTTGAATCCTGGCCCGCGGCTTCGTTTACATAGTTACTAACTGGAACACTCATCCCTTCAAATTGAATATCTCTCCCCTCCACGGGTTATTTCTGAATACGATACATACATACATGCTCCCTCCACTCCGTCAATCCACATCTATCCATTCACCTGCTGTGTCTGTGCATCCCTTGTATTTCCACCTTGAATCATCGCACCGACATCCATCGATATTTTTACCATTATTATTAGCAGCAGTAGTAATCATTCCCCCCCCTCCCGGGTTCCAAGCTAGGCAAAACCCCACAGCCTCGTCGATCCTCCAGACTCCATTTTTAGGCACTCCGTACTTGACGAGACTTCCAAACTGCGGAACTCTGTGCACATTGTTAACATAACCCGTTAACTAAAGGTTCGTTAACTGGGTTCATACTATATTATTACATCACCACCGCCGTGCGCACATTGGCTACCGCTACCGTCTGGTCGGATAGATTTGGCAGCCTAACTCCGGCTTTGGGTTTTCGGAACCCTGGAAAGGCCAAAAGACACAGCGAGAACTCCGTCCGGAGAGTTCATTCATTATTAATAATAGTTTTTCCCAGGGAGTCACCAGCCCCAGTCAGCCCAGTCACCAGCTCACAAACAGCCAACCAGCCAAACAGCCCCTTGCCACTCCCATCCGCACACGACCCGTGGACGCCGCCATCCAAGTCACCCAAGTCGCCCAAGTCGCCCAAGCCCAAGTCAAGTCACCAGTCACCAGTCACCAGTCACCAGGTCTGACAAATCAGCCGCCGCCCAGATCCGCTGTAGCCTCTGCCATTGGGCGGCTGGCACATCCCCGAACTCCCTCGCAGAGGCCAATTCGCAGCCCTGGTTGGCTGGTTTGCCTGTTGCTCTTGGTCACTCGCCCGGTCACTGGTCACTGGTCAGGCCTCAAGCACCTCACTCAGCCCATCCGCTGGTCGCCTTCGCACGTCCTGCGTAGTGCGTCGTTATTTCTTCTGCCTTGGGGGGCGGCGGAGACCCAACAACGTCACTCTTCCGTGAACTGAACCTTCTTCTTTCTTCTCTCTTCTCTCTTCTTCTGACCAGAAACTATCATCCTTCTTCTTATCTTTCCTTTCGCTCTTCTTCTTCTTGATCAATTTGCCTTCTTCTATCATCTTCTTCCTTTTTAACTCCACAAATCTACTCTCCCCCTGCGACACAAAGCCTTACCATTTCAATTCGGCCTATTCCGTCATCCCAATTCGCCTATCGCCGTCCACCAACAACTCAATACTAGTAGTACCCACAACAATCCCCCTCTCCCCTTCGCACACCAACATCCAAATACATAATACATACCGCACTGTTGTCTGTGTATACGCATATACAGCATCATGAACCGTCTACCCCCTGTATCCAGCTTAATGTCGCCGCCAGAGACAAAGCCTCTGGACAGTTTCACTCGGGCGCTGTCACCGTGCACGTCGAAGCAGTCTTCCTTCGATGAGAATAACACACTTCCCCCCATCTCTAGCCATCGAAAACGCACCCAGTCCGAGATGGACCTACCATCGCCACCCGTCACTCCGTACACAGGGAATAAGAAACAAAGGTCGAACGTCGACGATCAGATCGAGAGTGATGCATCTGCCGTTTCATCCAAGGATCCAGTTCTGTTCCCCAACAATGAATCCGATATCCTGCATGGTGAGCCACTGTTTGGCCCACAATTGGCCACTGTCGCTGAGCACCTCGTCGACAAACACATGGAGAGCCAGATGCTGAGATTCCAAGACAAGAAGAATAAACCAACCCGCAGAGAATACATGTTTGCCTTGTCCTGTGTTCCCATTGTCGGAAGGCAGTACAATCGGAATCCTGGTGCCTGGGCGATGAAGGAGAGGGAATTCTTGGACCGTCAACTTTCAGTGACCAAACGGGTGGGCTACGAGACAGCCGCGAACTTGAAAAAGATCGCTCCAGCACCTCCAGTAAAGCGGAGTCCAATCGGTGGCGTACGAGCCCCACGGCCCCGGCCAAGGCGCACCTCCAAACCCACTCCCAGGCAGCGAGTATACGATTCTTTCGATGTCGCCACTTCAACAACACCCAAGCCTACTCGTGTTATTGGGACCAATCGCGATGATACTGATTACAGATCTCTGCCTGACTACTGTCCTCCCATAGAGACCCTTTACGGGAACACTAAGGGCTTGAAAGCGGACTGGAAAGGCCAGATGCTGGATCTTAGCAACGACCCAGACCGGCACCAAATCGACCCTGCAGAAGTGAGCCTTGCCGCTACTCTTCGCCTTTCCTGTGCTACCTATCTCTGTAGCAAACGTCGCATCTTCGAAGCACGCCTCAACGCTCTCCGCATCGACAAAGAATTCCGCAAAACGGATGCTCAGCAGGCTTGCAAAATTGATGTCAACAAGGCAAGCAAGTTGTGGACCGCCTACGAAAAGGTTGGATGGTTCAAACCAGAGTACTTTCGACAGTATCTGTGATGAGTTCCACATACATTCCCTTCCTCTTCTCTACTCGAGTCAGTGCCTCGTCCAGTGTGGGCTACAGCAACAACACCAACAAGAACAAGAACAATTTAAATGTTGAATTGAAGCTCGGGAGAAGAGTTGTGGGATAGATTGATACTTTATGGACGGGGAACGGCTCATATTTTCGGCAAACCTACGTCTTTACATGATATGGTTCTCTCTCTTTTTTTTTTAACGACTTGAAGGATTGCAACGTTTCGTTTCGGTTTCAGATACCTTTTGCATCATGGCCTTTTTCTTTTTCAAAGATTCGTTTTACGTCTCTCCTTTTTCTCTCTATTGTCGTTTTGGCTTTCTTTTCCTTTAATTATCAAATATTCTGGCCGGGACCCTCATTTTACTATTGTTATGTGGAGCAGGTATCAGCCGGCCTAAGCCTTGTTCTTCATGGCATGTTTGCACTTACGTTTGATGATGGTCTAGGGAGAAAGGGCAATTTTGGTCTTTTGCTTTTTCTGTTTCTGTTTTCCTTTGTTTCTCTTTTTGCATTTTCATTCATTTGTTCTGTGACTCTGATGATTTCGCTTTTTTTTTATCGTTTTCCATGGGGCGCATCCTTTGACTTTGACTCGCATTTACGGGAATATTTCCTCTTGTTTTTTTTTTTTCTTTTTGGGCAGAGGGAGACAGGAAACGGATAGGGAACCTGGTGGGAAGGGTTGGTTCAACCATTGGGGGATTTTTCATACCACTTACCATATGGCATTCGTTCACATTTTCTTTGTTAGGTCATGTATGTCCATGTATGTACATACATGGGAGTGGCGTTAATGTTGGGCATTTTATTTTGACCCTAATTTTTCTGTCTTCCTGTCTGGGTGGTTGGTTGGTTGGTAACTTGACGGACTGTTCAGAATGCTTACAGGTCCATGATTTTCATGTTTCATGTTTCATTTTTCCATTTTTCGCTTTTCACTATCATCATGGTTTACCACCAGTTTGGACTGGCTTGGTTCATAGCATTTGAAATACCCAATACCCAATACGATCAGATTCTTTCTTTGAATCAGCCAATATCTTGCGCAGTTGGGAATCAAGAACTATAATCTACTATATCATCTACGCTGGCTGTTTCGGCCCTGACTACTCTGCATTATTAGAAGTGAAGTGATATTATTCCTTCAATTCAGTAGTATATTAGGACAGCATAGCACACCCCATAGCATAGGCCTGAAAATGCGAAAGCTGCAAAAACACATGCGCATGTCTGCTCTTGTCATCCACCTTGTGCAATGCTGATTGGCAGCGATCTTGGAATTTGGGTCTGTTGGTGATTGATTGATTGATTTACCTGGAGGGACAAGGGGGACAGCGCCACCATGATCCACGATATATCATACAGCCTTGTTGGTATTCCTCGCTTGGATAGCTAACATTCCTCATTCATTGGAATAAATTTTTTCTTGGTAAAATTACGAAAAAGCAAATGGCATCATTTATGCTGCACTGGTAGTTAACATCAACTACACTGCGTGAGTAGAAGTGAGCGTTTTCAGGTTGGTGGATGAATAAGCAGGAGCGTCATTGTCACAGCCGCCCTTCACATACGCAACCATCAATTAGTTAATTGTTCTAAACACGACGAGGGCCACGACGACCTCTTACCGTCATTGCCACCAACATTTCTACCATCTCAGACAGGATTGCACAATCTGACGGAAGAACGAAGTACCCGTTAGATGAACCATAAGATCCCCACTAACTCCAAACAAGTCCACCGAAGAAGTTGGTCAACAGGCATTCTGCCCTCGTCAAGTCTTCACTGCCACGATCACCGCAGCCATGGCACCCTCAGAACCGGATTCTGTAGACGAACAGGATCCTCGAAATGCTGGAGATGAGAAGAAACAAAAGAGCCGGAGACCAGCAAGTGCGCATAATGCCTCAATCCCTATATCCCCCCACCATGACCTCTCATTCTGTCCTGTCCCCAAAGCAGGTTACATTCAGATAATTCGGGCCCCAACATCCAGCTAACAAATGATATTGCGGTGCTTCTTAGACACGGCATTCCGGCAACAACGCTTGAAGGCATGGCAGTAAGTACCCATGCTACAACTCTTTACTTGCCGGGACTGCGTTGTGACATCCTGAGCCATAAATCACTGACGCGGCTGTTCCGGCAGGCCTATCCTAACTCCGAAAACCGTTCTTCCTTTATTCTTCATTGTTGGAGTCATATTCGCACCGATCGGAGGCCTTCTGATATGGGCTAGTTCTACAGTACGCAATATATCCCTTTATACTTTTGTTGTTTTCGGGGGTTTTGCCTCTGCCCGTGACCGATTGCTTACTTATGCGGATCTTGTGGGATAGGTGCAAGAAGTGGTTATCGATTACACGAACTGCGCCACCGAAGCTCCACTTGGTGAAGCTCAGCCTATAAACCCAGGGAGCTACAGCTCGTCATTTCGGTCCCGAAATATTGATAGGCCGTCTTGGAAGCGCCTAGATAACGTAAATAGAACTTTTCCGGGCGTCGCACCAGTGAACACCACCGTATGCTCGCTGTACTTCGAGATTCCAAATGATATCGGACCCTCGGTATTCCTCTATTACCGTCTCACCAACTTTTACCAAAACCACAGACGATATGTTAAGTCCTTGGACTTGGACCAACTCAAGGGCAAGGCTCTCCCCAATAGCACGATAAACGGGAGCCCCTGCGACCCGCTCAGGATTGACCCGGAGACTCAAAAGGCGTATTACCCCTGTGGCCTCATTGCGAACTCAGTATTCAATGACACTTTCTACTCCCCCGCTCTCCTTGGGACAGTGGACAACCAGTTCTATGAAATGACCAACAAGGGAATATCGTGGAGTAGCGACAAGCAATTATTCGGGAAGACTGAATACAAGCCAGAACAGGTCTGGCCTCCTCCCAACTGGCGGAAGCGGTATCCCGATGGCTACAACAATAAGACTCCTCCCCCTGATTTGCATGAGTACGAAGAACTCCAGGTGTGGATGAGAACGGCAGGTTTACCGACATTCAGCAAACTGGCGATGAGAAATGACAAAGATGTTATGAAAGCTGGAAGTTATCGGATTGACATAGATAGCAGTGCGCCCGGCCCCCTTCCTTGCTGTCGATTTCTGGCTTATTCCTCCCCTTTCTTACTTCACCATCTATTTCGTTGTTGGCTAACAGGCATGTTTACTACCAGATTTCCCGGTCACCCGTTACGGAGGGACGAAATCCATCGTTTTGTCCACAAATACTGTGGTGGGTGGTAAAAACCCATTCATGGGAATTGCATACGTAGTCGTTGGTGGGATTTGCATCATTCTCGGCGCATTGTTCACGCTGGCACATTTAGTTAAGCCACGGTCCGTTCTTCCTCTCCGGCTCCCTTACTCCTACTTTTCTATCTACCTCTCTCCATAATGCCAACAACGTCTACTGTTATCTCTCTTTGCTAACCTAACATACTCTTTGTCAACAGGAAACTTGGTGACCACACATATCTGACGTGGAATAACGAACAGCCTAGTACAGCCACCACAACTGGCCGTGAGCCCCGGTTCGGCGGCAGGTCGTGATTTATTGATTAATAACTGTAGAAAATTTGAGTTTTGCCTATCTTCCTTTGTTATCGATCTTTTTTTTTTTTTTTTGCATTTTTTTCCTATTCATTACAAAGGGGTCGAATACCACTGAGAATTCTAGGACATGGCGTTTCTTTCTTCTTCTTCTTCTTCTTTTCATTTTTGGACAATAGCTGAAAATACCTTGTGCATTTCATTTTTTCCTTCATGTTAAATTTATGTATGTCTAGGCAAGTTGGTTGTGGGCTTCATTTTGTTGTCTAATGTTGTCTTTCGCTTTTCTCTTGCTTATGATATGACACAATTTTTTAAAGGGAAACGATGTTTTTCAGAATAAAACTCATTATTATTAGAAGTCATAGTGTAATATGGCTAAAAGTGTACTGCAAAATGATTAATTTTAAAGGCTACATTTTGAATGGGATTTAAATTCCAAATCTGTACTTGGTTGTGAATTGCATGCATCATTGACTACTATAAAAGAAAAAGGGGTGACATTGTTTCAGTATGGCAAAAAATACATCTGTAAAGTTCATCACTGAAGTTATAATTGCTATAAATTATGCAAATGAAGCATCTCTCAATGTTTTTTGTTCTGACGAGAGGCAACACTGTAAATAAGACCCCGAGTAACATTCTCACGTTACTTTCCAGTCAAAATCGGCCCGGGCCATGAGGCTAATAGGCATATAGATCCCTAAAAAAAAGGCTCGCTAAAGATATGAATAAATGTTGGACTTTGTTGGTCAAATCCCATACCTAGAGGAAATCTGGTTCTTCAGCATCGGAGCGGGATGGGCTGGAGATATGCTCTTCCACATAAAGACTTTGGCAGAATTCAGAATTCGTATGAGAAAAAATCTCTCTGGAATGTATAGGAGAGCAAGCTCTGCAGAGAGCAAAACCGGTATTTTATTGTGCTAGCTGAACATGACAAGGATATTGCGCCGTTGGATGTGCAGCTCCGCTTTCAACTGGATACGCCCGCTCGCCTCGGTAGTGTTTCGACCCCTTCATTGAATTGCTGGCGTCCCACTCATCGTAGGCTGGCACAACCTCGAAGGTCCTAACCAAACATGCGAGAATGACGCGCAGTTCAATGAGCGACAATGCTTGTGCAACGCAGTTTCTCGGCCCGAGTTCAAAGGGACGCCAGGCTCCGGGGCAAGGGTATAACTCATGGTCAGGGGGAACGAGCCAACGTTCCGGTAAGAAGGCATCTGGTTTCACCCAGTACTTTTCCGAAGTTTGCATTTCACTGTGCAGGACCAATAGCATAGCATCCTCTGTTGGACAAGGGTTACCGGCATCATCTGTCACATTGATGCCCGGCTTTCCCGCACGGGTAGCGCCTGCAGGCGGGAAAAAGCGCATTGATTCTTTAATGACGGCAAGGGTGTATTGTAGGCTGTTTACCACGCGAGGGTTCTCCCTGATGACTGTTGCTGCTGCAGCCGGATTGGGACCTAGCACTTTATCGTGTTCTGCACGCAGCTGGGCAAGTGCCTCTGGGTTCTTATGAAGGAGGTGGAAACAATAGCAGATGACAGTGCTCGTTGAATCGTGTCCTGCGAAGACAAAGAGCCGAATCTGGTGGATCGCGAAAGCACGGAAGTTGGCGTCAAGCTTCTCCGGAGGCAGAGAGAATTTGTCCACGTACGCCTGGAGGACTAGGTCCATCACTGACTTGGAATTTGTGCCATTCGGGTCAGCCCGGTACTCTGCGTACCGCTTGTCAAGCTCAGCACCGATGTATCGGTCCATCTGCCGGCCGTTTTTCCAATGGATAAAGTAGCGCAAAAAGTTGAGCCGGCTGAAAGGATTGATGGCCGCATTCGAGTTGTGCCACTGGATCTGGCTCAGCATGCCGTCTGCTAAAGCATTATAGCCTCTCTGTGCACCTAACGAGCTATTCCTAGGCAAATTTTCAGCGCTTGCAAACCCCTGGATACTGCTACATTCGAAAAAAACATGAACAAAAAAGTAACACGCCTACAAGATTGTTTTCCCAATTACATCGATCGTGAAACGAAGCGTGATTGGGTCTAAAAAGCACAATTCTCCGGTCTCCGCTAGGCCACGCAAGGTTTGGGCATAGACTAATACCTCCTGCACAATGCCAGGCACGAGGGACATGACTCGATCGCTATGAAACGCTTTGTTAAAAATTCCACGCCATGGCTTCCATTCTTTCTCTTCCATGTCGAAAAGTGTGGAGCCGCCGGTAATAGGTTTAAGGAACTGACGCAGCTGTTTAGGGCGCTCAGATGTAAGCCTAGGGTTTTGTTGTGTGATCTCCATACCAATCTTGGGTGAGACTACAGCAAAGAGCAACCCGCTCATCGGCCAGAGGTCCATGTAGAAGGCGCCAGTCTCATAGAACTGCTCTCGAGCAATCGTCGCGAAGCCAAGCTGATAGTGAGCATCCCTTGGCAAGCGGTCAAGAATCTTTTTGAGGTAAAGGAGATGGCCAAATAAAAACGAATGGCCTGGAGCGACGGGCTTAAGGGGTTTGTTTAGCTATAGATTTGGGTTTGGGGGGAGCATAAAAATGAACATGAATGGGTGAGAGTTTACCAGGCCTCTTCTCCGCCGGTCGATCAGCAGCATGCGCGCGCGGTAAAAATTCACAAAGAAAGTGCCAATGATGGTTGCCAGTCCGACCAGCACAACACTTTTGAGACCGAGTAAGTAAGTCGAGCAAGTATGTCCAGACATGTTTGCCTGATCGCAAGGGTCAATTGTTAGGACTGTTTCCGCTCGTGATCCTCTTCTTAAAGGCTGGCTAGAGTAAGGTAGGAGGCCGGGAGCAAATGGTCAGAGGTTTCCTGACGAAAGGGTTTGAGCAAAACCTGCCTTGAACAATGTCAGTTGTAGACGGTGGGGGCCAGCTTATATACCGTGTAAGCCCTCTGAGCTGAGTCCCTTGAGCTGAGTCCCCTGAGCTGAGTTCAGCTCAACTGGGGACCTATTCTTGGCAAAGTCGGCCATGTTCGGATAGGAGATCGCTGATTTTTGACCCTTGAAAACATCAGACCTGATGGAAGTCGTTTGTTGCTGAGGTGGAGGGTAGCCAACGGCCTGTAAGCTGATGGAGGTGGATGGTTGGTTTAGTTTCGAAAGATTTAGACCTGACGGAGACTCACAAGCCATCTTTTTTTAGATTAATGATTCATTGCCTTACAACCAAAATAACATTGATATTTTCTTATCCTATGCATACTACTGAGTCATCAATTACACCCTGGAATTTAATGAGAGAGGAGAGAAGAGATAGTAATAAAGTTGTAGAATAAATGAAAAAAAATCATAACTAGTTTTTATCAAAGCTAGTTAGAAATCAGATGGAAACAAAAAGCGTAATGATTGATTATAAACACCTCAATTGATTATATTTTTAGTTTCTGTCATTCATCTCATTGATCTGTTTCAATGATGTATCTTGAAGAAAATAAATAATGAACAAGAAATAAACACAACTTCACTTACTTCCCTTTCCTTTTTCTTTTTGATTTCTGCAAGAGTGGTGAAACAATACTATCCCATAACGCCAGCACCTCCAAATAAAAAACATAAAAATTCAACGGAGATCGGGATGCGAGAGTTCATCGTTTCCGCTTCTTCCCCTTCTCACTGTCATCAAGACCGCTTTCGCGATCCTTCTTCTTCGCCTGCCGCTCAAGCTCATCCCAGTCTTCACCGGCGCTTTCATCATCCTCATCGCCGCTAAATGCCTCGCTGGCCTCTGCACTAGCTTCATCATCGAACTCGCTATCATCTTCAGAGCTCTCATCAGAAGCGGCGAGTTCGGAGTCTGACATCTCGAATGCGGATTCCTCTTCCTCTTCTTCTTCCTCCGAGTCGGAGTCCTGAGCTAAGAAGGACCAACCACCGTCAACGAAGAAGCCGTGCGGATCACTGGTGACTGTTTTCATAATGGCGCCCCAGTTAAGGTTGAGAGGCCCTTCAGAAAACGCAATGTCGACGGAATCAAGCCAGTCTTTGACACCTTCCAGTGATTCAACGGGGATTGTATTGATATGAACTGGAGGTCGGTGGAAGTCTTTGAAAACAAATACCATATCGAAGTTTTTGAGCCCAAACTAGTTTTTATTATGGTTAGTCAGTCCACAAAAACTCCAAGATTCAGAAATGGAAAGAAAATAACAACCTGAACGCGTTCTAAATGGGCAATCTCAATTTCGCTCAACGTCACCACCAGGAACGGCGGCTCTGTCAGTTGAACAATCGCATCCGTGGTCGGCTGGATCAGCACATTAGAGCGGTTTGGGACGCCGTTGAAACCGATTTCGCGGAACGGAACGTCTACGTCAACACCTTCGTCCCTGCCAGCATCTGAGATCTTCTCAGCAAACGCCTTGAATTCTCGATCCAATGCAAGTCGACGGCGTCTTTCTTCCTGCTCAGCCTCAAACTCCTCTTCGTCCCCATAACGGTGTTTCCGTCTACGGTTTCCAGTTTCGTCAAACTGCATTTCCGTAGCTTCCCGGTAGAACTGAACGTCCTTAGTCTTCCGTTTACCGATCATGATAGGGGTTTTTAAGTGGACATGGATAATCACGATCATTTCGTGTGCGCACGGTTGGAAAAACAAATGTTTGACGTTGCTGAATAAAACATCAACATGCTCACTACGCAGTGGCGATTGATATCGGAGACCGTTCTGGTGAATTTCGACTTCTCCTGGCACTCTTTTTCCGTCTAATGGAGGTCGAAGATAGACATCGGGAAGCTTCGCAGGCCGCCGATCTAAATCAGATTTTGTTAGGATAACCGAACAGCAAAAGAAATGGACACAAGGAGTCAATCGTACTTCTAATTTCAACAAGCTTGTCCTGCTCAACGACATCTTCCATCTCCTTCTTTTCTTGCTCGCGCCTGAGTGCATTTTTCCGAAGTTCTGTAATATCTTGCGCAACTTGCGCGAGTCTGTCATTGTCCCTCGATCTCAAGGTCAGATTCCTCACGAAGTGCGCGGACGGATCTTCAAACGGCTGGTCATCTTTCCTACCTACACCTTGTCCAGGAGATAGGAAGTTGATACGCAGGTATGCATACTCCCCTTCATCGCTTTTACTCGCATTTTTTATGGTATTGATGTGGAATGGAACGGGGCGGCCCATAATAGGAACAATCACAGTTGAGGCTTTGTGGTCAACGTATACCGCCAAGTCTTTAACTTTAATGGGGAGTTGGTTGTCTCGTTTGTAGGATTCAAACCTTTTGAACTTTTTCTGTGATGTCCCATTCTGATCGCCTGTGGTTCCAGCAAAACGTTCCAAGCCCTCTTTAAGTTTCTTCGCAGCCAATTCCTTTTGATGCTCACGTCGACGGGCTTCTGCGCCTTCGTTTACCTGCGTTGGCCGCTCAGCTCTCAATTTAGTCTTCGTAATGTTTTTGCTAGCGATAGCACTAGACTTTGAGGCTTCGCTTTTGACTTTTGGTTTCTCAGTCTCTTCTTCGTCACCAAAGTAGAAGGAGATTGAATCCATGTCAATTCCTGCATCCTTCGTAAAGATATGGGGACCACTTTCGCCAACTCGAACTGTGTCCGTGATAACCATGGAGTAAGATTCATTTTTCTTGTCCTTCGGGTCCGGGTCTTGAACATCAGTGAAGCCGATCATGACACACAGTGTCATTCCGCTCTTAAGGACTTTATTGTTTTTGCCGTTAAGAATCATATTGGGATCCCGCAATTCTATTCCGATTCCGGCACCGATATTCTTAAGGAAATGCTTCTCCAACTCTGGCTTTTTGGCCTTTATCATTCCAAGCGCCTTATTATACAGGTCCTTAGCCACGGCCCCATCGCGGATATCTTTCATGACAGCATCGTGGATACTTAGCAAAAAAGCATAGTTGGTCTCTTGAGATTTGCTAGGGTCGACCAAAAACGTCCGTGCGATTACGGAGCTGTAAGTCTTGTAGCGAATACCAAACCCCGCGATTATAATACCTGTATGAAGGTTGTTGGAGTCAGGAACAGCAGTAAACCGAAGATCATAGTTCCCGCCACTTTGGATGATGGGGCCATAAGCCCAGTCAATTTGTTGTGGATCAAACTCTGGGGGCAGTTTGGCAAGCTTCTTGAAGAATTTGGCATCATCCATTTTTGCGTCCACTTTAGTTGCTAACTCCTTGTGAGTTATCTTCTTCTCTTCATCGAGAAGCTGGGACATTTCATCCACAAAGTATTCCGACATGAGACCGCTGCAAGCTCTGGAGGCGTTTCGCATCGAGATCTACAAACCCAGTCAGGACAAATTTTTGTGAAGGTTCAGAGAGGGAAACGGATTACCAGCTCTTCCGGGCCTTTAACGGCGAATGCAACGGATGACAGCGCGGGAGCAATATCAACCTCCTCTACCTCTTTTGATATTTCGCTAAACAGACGTTTCCATTCCTCGACAAAAGGGCCGGTGGACATATCTTTGGGCAATGTACCTACTTTCTTCTGTATATTGCGTATGTGTTAGGACAGATCAGTCAGCTATCAACAGAGAAGGACAACATACCCCTGCGCTTTTTATGACATCCAAGCATTTCTCGAAAACCTTTGCTTTCTGCTCAGGGTCCTTCGTGGTGACGAGGATTTCAACTGGTATCTTTCCACCCTTTAGATGCTCGAGATGTTTCGCTTTCATAAATACAAGTTAGGAATAAAGGCATTGGCCGCATATAAAGAGATGTCCGGGCCGTTAATAATAGCGTTACCTTTTTTTGCAGTTGTTACCACATACATAGCCTCGGTTGTGAAAACGAAGAGAGTCGCGGGGAACTCATAACCAAGCAGCCAGAACTAGATGATAGGATAGAATTCCTTAGATCGAAGTTGGAAACGAGAATACCAGTACTATAGTATGCGGCATCAGACTTACGTGCATAGCATTATTTTTTTGGAAGGAATTCGCGTCTTCTGTTTTCCCCATCAGGATCACAATCGACCCAACACCACCAAAAACTGGATTCGACAATCGTTTGTCAGCCCTCCATGCTGAATAGAACGTAGATAGGCGATTGAAAAACGTGGCTTTGTCGATTTTTATCTCGTCCGCCATTTTGGCAAAAAGTCGTCTTAAGGCCCAGAAGCACTGCTGGAAGTTGAAAGGGAGAATGAATTTCGGTAGAGGGAAACTTTCTAAACTACCGTACAAAGGAAAAAGAGAGTAACCAGTCACAAAGGATAAACAAGCACTAGAAAAATGCTCAAGACGGCCGTGGGGGCTATCGGAGTCAGGTTGACTGAGGTTGGGTGAGGATCGACCAGTCCTGGCAACTTTGACGTGACCTGCACCGCGTTTGGATTTAGCGCATCAATCGGGCTAAATGGAATGTTTGCTTTGTTTGCATCTTAGATTTCTCCATGACCACCGAGATTGAGATATTATTGACCTACCTGTCCACAGCTTCCGTTATTCATTAACCGTGGAATTCTCGCCCCTCGTGACATCTTTGCGGTTATGAGATTTCTCTAGAAATGACACTTCCTTGGTGTCAATAATTCTTAAGCCCTCAGGAAATCAATTTTCTCCATATTGTGTCTCTTGTAAAACTACCTCATGGAACCATTATCCGCTGTTATCTCCGTTCCACAACCATGTCCATCGTTTCTGGTAACCCCTCTAATACCAGTTTTGATGGAAGCCCGTCAACCGACTCAGATTCTTCGGACGATCCAGCGCGCCGGAAGCCTCGAACAAATGCAGCAACGGGCGCATCGGCTGCGGGTGTTCGTGCCCTGAGCGCACAGGCTGTGGCCTTTTATTTCAGAGCCCCTGCCAAAGCATTCTTTCGCACACGAGTGGAGTAGGTAGTTTACCTTTGTATTTATTTGTATTTATGACCCTCGTTGACAGTCACTTTCTGTAGCTATATGGTACGAAATTTCCTAGTTTAATTAGCTACCTCCCCCTGGTAGATATCTGCTTAGTATCTATCTCCCTACTTAGATTTGCTTCAATCTGTTAGAGTCTCGACCAGGCTGATTGGTAGATGGATGACCCTAGGCTTTAGCCAAAGCTATCAACCCGCGAGTCGCGGAGGGCAGCTGGTCATGGCATACAACGACTCCAGGACTCCTCGCCCACGCCGTCCGCATGTATGGCTGGCGTTTCCTTCCAGACCAAGTCCTCCCACCCCTTGTGGGAAACATTGTGTTGGTTATCACGTCCCTCCCCCTTGCCAAAAATAAAAGAATACACTTAATTGTCTCCACTAAGGGATATGATATTTCTAACTCATGGGAATTGTTCTTTGCGATAGGGTTGGGGCAGTTCTATATACTTCGTATCTTCAAATATTAAGCGGACTCCACGAGCCCACATTACAAGCGACCAAGCGCATTTACCCACCTCCAGCTCCGAGCTTGACATTCACAGCCGGTTTTGCTGCAGGAGGAATACAATCCATAATCGCAGCGCCCCTGGACGCGCTCCAGGTGCGGTTTAGCACTAGTGATATGATAAAGGGCCAGTACAGGAATGTATGGCAATACGGTAAACATAAACTTCATGAAATAGGCATTCGGGGCATCTTTTCCGGTTGGGGTCTCTCGTTCCTGAAGGATTCGTTCGGCTCCGCTCTCTTCTTCGGCATGTTCGAAACTATCAAGTCTCAAGGATACTACACCTTTGTCAGATATTATTACGGCTCTCTCAAACCACACCGTGTCGAGAAACTCTCGGTGTCAGCAGCACCCACTTCATCTGGAGGTATCCCCTCCATCCAGCCTCACTATGCTCTAGAACCCTGTTTCCTGATGCTAGCCGGCGTTACGGCGTCGCTGGTGCAGCAGTTTGCGCAGCACCCTCTCAACCTAGTGCAGACTGTCTACTATGAGAGGCTGGAGCACATCGACGCGATGGCCAAGTTAGATCACTCGGGGATGAAGATGATGAAGCACCACTATGAAGCGTACTTGGGGCTATTTGGGAGATGTCAGAAACTAGCCATACGCGCGGGTGGCTGGCATTCATGGCTTTTTAGAGGATTTTTTGGGAACGCTGTTCGTCTGGTGCCAAGCACTAGCGCTGGTCTTATCATCTTTGAGCTGGTCCGGCGTAAATATGGGGTCGATGCGGAGATTGTGCATATTCAACAGGACGGCTATGAAATCATTTTGACATAATTATCGGTTTCGATATTAGTTATCTTTTTCTCGCATGCGCCCCCTTCCCCCACTCCCTTTTTTTGATGTATCGGTCGTAAATGATGTATATTTTATTGTTGTTTTGGTTATACCCTTTATATATTACTTTCGTTGGTATCTTGAGAGAGCAGTATTTTATTAGACAATAACTGCCAGCATATGAAGATGCTGACTCCTTATAGCCTCGGTGTGAGCTGGCTGCTTCGAAGTAAAATGATGTATCATCCCGTGACCCAGTCAGCCAGCCAGCATAGGCTGGAAGCAACCTGTGAACACCCATTTTCCCCTCCTTAGGCCAACAGCCTAGCTGTCCAGCACTCTCCAGCTGAGCAGATCCACATATCAAGCAATAACCGAATTCCTCACTGTTAATAGCCTATGTCGCTCTTCAGGAATAAGGTGTCTGATTACAGGCTATGGAGCGGAGGAAGGATGTCTCCTGACCCTTTTACGCTGCTTTAAAAAGATCGCCCACAGCCAGCGGACTCCGCAATGACCATTCTGGTGAATCGGATGGGGGAGAAGTTGCTGGGGCATCCGCGCTAGTTATCTTTTAAACTGGATAATCATGTGTCGTTCCGCAGTATGAGGCACATGTGCATGCAAGGTGCTAAAACAAGAGCTTGTTACAGTCACCAAGGATGATATCAAACAGCCAAATTGAAAATGTGTGTCATCATGATATCTGAAGATCAGAGTATGTTATTCATGTGTTACGGCTGGTGGAGGAGGCGATGGCGGGCGGGGACCCCAAAATGCAGCCATCGGGGAGGGACATTTACGAGACATGCTTTCGATGATGGAGAGGATGGAGGGCACGATTGGCTGAAGTTTGATAGTTTGGTGACAAGTTGTTGCAGTTCACACAAAATTATCTTTTCTCCAAAGGAGAACAAAAAACATCTTCCTCACATCATTTTTAATAATACCGGAGGGAGAATCAGAGCTAGTAATAGACATGAATAATAAAATAAAAATTGGGTGCATGGAGTTTACCACCTGGGAGCTATGCTGTGTGGCCTGTGGCTTTGCCGAATATCAAATTATTGAGATAAAAAGCAGTGAAAAAATGAGTGTAGAACTTGGTTGATTTGAGTTTACGGAACAACTAGAGCTGATTTTTATCACTCTTTGTTCTCATACCCCATGCGTCCACCCCTGGATCGAGAAAAGTACTTTAATCAGGTACCGCCGATGCTCATTTGTGGTAAAGTGACAAGATTGCCAGAGTGCCTTGTCGCTGCAGTGGTCACTCCCCCGGAAGCCAGGGATCAAGACCTGTGCCCGCAGAAACATTCTTCCCTGCCGACCAGGGAGTGTTGGAACATCCATAGCCCATCCAGACAGCCTATGGCCGAAATATCAATCAAGTTCCCCGACAAATCGTCTGCCAGCCAATCCAACAACAAACCCGAATCTTTCGATGCCCTTCCCATTCTGTCTTGTCAGATGTCAGCGTTCCTTTCTCATCCTTGGCTCACTCCCTAACCAACAACGTAGCCCCGTTCTTGCTGCGGAACTCCTGGTCTCGATCACACCTGACCGGCCACAACCTCCCCCCTTCGTTTGAGAGATCACGCTACACTCTTCCGACGACACTTGCACCTCTCTCTTTTCCTCCCCTTCTACGATTTCCACCGTAGGGCTGCTCCCGCCAGCCCTCACCTCCCACCGCCACCATTTCTTCCTCAACGCTACCCAGGCTCCCCACCGCAATCCCCCTCCGGTCCCTTTCTCCTCACTCCCGGCCCTCGCCTGATTCACATTCCGTGCTGCTAGCTTCCTCACGCGAGAAAGAGGGCAACCGGCGGCTTTCATCGTCCTCTCTCCCCTCTTCCCCGTTCACCGATTCAGACTCCGATTCCAACTTCTCGGTTTGGTCAGACACTGGTGATCTCGCTGAACAACTAGCCAGCGAGGAAGATCCTCTTCAGATCCATCTCAATCGTTCACTCGAGCATTCATCGTTTGGGCGAAGCTGCTTCCGCTCTCGTGGGAAGCGTTCAAAACGGGTGCACTACCCGGCTGACGGGCACCGTCACGGAACCCACCCCCAACAAGACGGCCGCGGCCAGGTCAACACTGATAGTGACGGTGGCCTGTTCAAGGAGATCCATATCCCAACACCTGCTCCTCGAACCATCTCGAGAGCGGAAAGAATATTAGCCGTAATCATGTCGCCCGGCGCCGCACGAAAGGCCAGGAGCCATGGCCTGGTGGGAAAACCACTACTGTATGTACCTCCTTCTACGTATCTCTACATAGGTGAACCTCTTGCACAATGATTAGATTATTAACGTTTAATTCCTCCTAGTTACTTCACGAGTGTCTTTGTGTCATTGGGTGTTTTCCTTTTTGGATATGATCAGGGAGTTATGTCAGGGATTATCACGTAGGTGCATCGACCGATGTGGTCATATTGTTCCCCCAAAAAAAGTTCAGAGCCTCACAGTTCATTCTAGGGGTGCCGATTTCAAAGACTACTTTAACCAACCAACTATGGCGGAGGTCGGTACCATGGTTGCCATTCTAGAGATTGGAGCGTTCATTTCATCTCTTATCGTTGGAAAAATCGGTGATATCATCGGTAGAACGCGCACTATCCTCTACGGATCTATGGTATTTTTTGTTGGAGGTGCTTTCCAAACATTCGCTACAGGGATTCCCATGATGCTTGTCGGTCGTATCATCGCCGGTTTAGGCGTGGGTGCCTTATCCACCATCGTCCCTGTTTACCAGTCCGAAATATCCCCTCCCCATAATCGAGGCAAGTTGGCCTGTATAGAGTTTACTGGAAACATTTGTGGTTATGCGGCTAGCGTTTGGGTAGATTACTTCTGCAGTTATATCCCAAACAACTGGGCTTGGCGGCTACCTCTCATGTGCCAATGCTTTATGGGTGCTCTTCTGGGTCTTGGCAGCCTTATTATCTGCGAGTCTCCTCGGTAAGATCCCAGATTTGCTGTGCGTTCGTAACAATATCAGTTTACTGACATTGTGGGGGAAAACAGATGGCTGCTAGACACCGATCGCGATGAAGAAGGAATGGTTGTCATAGCCAATCTGTACGGTGGAGGTGACCTTCACAATGACAAAGCCCGCCAAGAATACCGTGATATCAAGATGGGAGTCTTGATTCAGAGACAGGAGGGCGAGCGGACATATAGGGACATGTTCCGCCGCTATTCTAAACGAGTTTTCATTGCCATGTCTGCCCAAGCATTTGCTCAGCTCAACGGCATTAACGTTATTTCCTACTATGCCCCGTTGGTCTTTGAATCCGCCGGCATGATGGGACGCAAGGCACTGCTTATGACTGGTATCAACTCGCTCTCCTACCTGGCTTCGACTATCCCACCCTGGTACCTTGTAGACCGCTGGGGCCGACGACCAATTCTGCTCTCCGGTGCCGTGGCGATGATTACTTCCCTATCCTTTATCTCCTACTGGCTTTATCTTGATATAAAATTGACCCCGATCCTCACCGTTGTTTTTGTCATGATATACAACGCTGCGTTTGGTGCTTCGTGGGGCCCGATCCCATGGCTTTACCCCCCAGAAATCTTACCTCTCAGTATTCGAGCAAAAGGTGCAAGCTTGAGTACTGCTTCCAACTGGGCTTTCAATTGGCTGGTCGGAGAAATAACTCCGGTTCTGCAAGAAAGTATCAAGTGGCGTCTTTATTTGATGCATGCTTTCTTTTGCGCATGCAGTTTTGTTCTAGGTAAAGCTAACTTTTTTTTTTTACCGCCTCATATTATTCCGTATTTACTCACCATCTCGCAGTATATTTTGTCTATCCCGAAACTAGCGGAATCCGACTAGAGGACATGGATGCGATCTTTGGCGATGGAGCTACGGCTGTTACTCCAGCTACTCCCGCAGAACGCGACGCTCTCATGGGCATAGGATCGCCTGTCCCCTCTCTTGATATTCGGAGGTCTCCTGATAGTTATCCTAGCGCCGAACATTCGATCCCTGGACTAGACATTAACCCTCCCGAATCAAGTAATAATAATAATAAGTTCGATCAACCCGACACTGGCACGGTAGAACGATCTAACCCTCGCGAAGGAATTGGTGCATGGTTAGCCAGCGTGGTTGGACGGGGGAGAAATTCTAGTAAAAAAGGCGACCAAGGACGATATAGTCGGCTTGGGCAGGACGACGAAGGTTAGATTGAACATCCTTACGAAAAGTGGCCGGATATTAAAGACAACGAAATGCCATATCTGCACACTGGAGGGTGGCGACTTTGGCGTACGTGGTGTGTTAAGGAGGATGAGCGTAAATCCTTCAGCACCCTTGCTCACACGCCCCAGGCCATCTTCTCCTCATCCCAGCGGCGTTACAGGGTTTGCTTCAATCCAGTTATTATTTTGTTATTTCACTTTTTGAAACTACCCCGCATCGGTTACTTTTGAGATTTTTCTTCTTATACTTTCTAGATCTTTGGCTTTTTAACAACCTTGTCCATTTGTGTAATTCTCTGGTGCATCTTTTGCCGTAACGATAGAGACCGCTTCCTCTTTTCATCATGTCTTTCTGTTTATATTTCCTATTTCCACTATTTATTTTTTCCTTCATTTTGCTTTGTCCTTATGATATACCTTCGGACATTCAATTGTATAATTTCTATATCAGTTTGCTTACGCTCTATTCCACTAATCATTGTTGACATTTGGTTTGCATGTTATATATGTGAGTTTGATTATATATTTCCGTGATATCTCCTTACTCTCTATTGCTCATCTATTATATTTTCATTTATATATATATCAGTCTGCTTAATCATTCAGATCTGAAGAGTGAATGTTACAAGTAACTGTTTTATATATATATAAGAAGTCAATATAATGCTCTCATTTTTCTTTCTTTTCTTGTTGCATTTTATAACTATTATACAATGCTTAGAAGAATGAGAGTTGAAATTTATAAGTGTTAAGAAGTTCAAAATCATTTTCAATTACAAGAACTTAAAATACTTCACAATCATTTATAAACTTATCAAGAGATATATATATTAATGATTATTTCTTAGTTATTTTTCATTCATAATTTATTATCAATCAAAGATAAAAAATGCTTTTATAAATACTCTGTTTTATTAAAAATAAAATATATTATTTGATAATCTAAATAATAGATAAAAATACTGAGAGTATTAGTTAATCAACTCTATAATTATAAAAAGTTTTATATAATTAGATAAATTTTATATATATATTAATCAGTCTTAAGCTCAAGTTTTTTTATTTAAAAAATAATGAAGATAATATAATAGATTAGTATCTATATAATTTCTAATAATTTCTCTATATAATTTTTAACATTCTTTTATTTCAGTTTTACTACAGTGTGATCTCTGATATTTTTCTATTTTAATTTCTTTTTTATAAAAACTTTTTTATATAATTTTTTCTTCTGATTTTTTTTCTTTTTTTAATCAATTTATAATCTATTATTAGAATAATGTTAAATCTATTGATAATATTATTGAAATAGATTATATAAATTATATAAATAATATAAATAATTTAATTTACAATAATAGTAATATCTATTTAATTGATAATATATTTATTATATTATAAATTGATTTATCTGTATTTAAAACTTAAGTATTTATTATTAGATTTTATATTTAAATATATTATTTAAAATCTGAATATCTTATTATTAATTTCTATATCTGAATATATTGATTATATTAAAAAGTCTGAATATCTAGTTATTATAAGTTTTTTATTGAGTTTAAACATTTTTATTATTAAATATATAGACTGTTATATCTAAATATCTGTGATATAATCAACTGTTTTATAAAAAAATCTAAGTATCTATAAATTATAATACTGTGAATAGTATTTATAAAAAAGTTTAATAAATTTAATACTGTAATATATATATATATATATAGATTTAATATTTTAGAAAAGTATAAACAGTGTCTGTATTTCAGAAATCTTCTGAAAAGTATTAAGATATACTATATTAAAGAGATTTTTATGTATATAAAGAAAGAAAAATAGAATTCAGATGATAACTCTTAAGAAAACTTAGTTTATTAAACTATATATTTACTTCTAATCTAATATATAATCATTTATAATAGAGTTATAATATAATTTCTTGAAGAAATCATTGCTGCTGTATTTGAAAAACTTTATAGAAGATAAAAAAAATATTCTCTCAGTATATTAAAAAACTATCTACACTTTTTATAACAGAAAGAAAATAAATAAAAAAAATTAGAGAGAAAAAGAGAAAGTCTATAATCTAAAATAATATATATAAAAGAATAATGATAAAAAGCTGTGTTATTTATAATACTATATAATTATATAATCTAATACAGACTTAGAGAGTAGTGCATTACTAAAAAAAAGAGAAAAAAAAGAAAATATTAAAAAAGATAATAAAAAAATATAATATAAAAGAAAAAGTATAAAAAAAAGAGAAAAAAATAAAAAGTTGATAAAGATAAATAAAAAGAAGAAACAGAAATAAAGTTAGTATTAATTAAATACTATTATTATTATTATTATTATTATTATTATTCTTTATTTATAGATGTATACAGTCAGTGACTATAATATCTATCTGAAATATTTCAGAATTTTTCAAATCAAGAATTATCTAGTATACAAAAGCAATTTGATATATACAGTAATAGAATTTCAGTCTAAAATCAAACAACTAATCAAAATATTCAATTAAGAAAATCAATATTAAATAAATAACAATTAGTCAATCTAGATCAACTTGAAATATATAAAAAATATAGAAATAGTAATTATTATAAAAAAAATTTAAAAAGTATTTTAACAACTGTAAAATCAGTAATCAAAAATAAAACTTTTTAAAATAAATCAAAATCAGAATAATTGAAAATAAAATAAATATTAAAATAAAGAGTAATAAAATAAATAAATATAAAAATAGAAATATTAATTCTTT